TTGGCATAAAAACGCTCGCCAAGGGAGTCGTCCAGGGAATCGTTCAGCAGAAATGGAGGGCAGATTTGTAATCAGCGTTCAAGGGCCCACCGGGCAGTATACATCTCATTTCGAATGGCCACTTCGACCAACCATCCTTTCCTTGTAAGGACAATTCCGAAGGAAGCGAAGAGTTTTTCTTTCAGAAACTACTGACTTTTTTTAAAAACTTCGCAGTTCACGAAGTACTTATGCACTGGACTTTCTGAAGAAAACTTTTCGAGCCGGTCGGAGAAACCCTTTCCGTAACATGAGCGAAATAAGCTAAAGATCTACGTGTGCTTCTAGAACACACATTTCTCCTTAAAAAAAGGAAGTGGTTGTCCGTTGATCCCATTATCGGCCAATGGCCAGTGCAGGAACATGTGTTCACATAGTTCTTAATGATCCATCTGTTACCTACAGACTTCAGCCAGTCAGTAAAGAAAAAATAAATACTTAGTAATAAATGTTTAAATTATTAATAACTTAGAATAGTCATTTGAGTACACAGAAATTTACGTAAATCAGCAGGCTTTACTGTGGATTATTTTAATACTTTGCAGTGTTTTTTACATCTAAGTTATCTACAGTTGCACTCCTAACGCATCAGCGATTCTGACGCCCTGCTCTCTTCGTTACAGATTGGTTCGCCGTTCTCGACCCCTCTGCTCTCGATAGAGCGGCCAAATGCCACCCTTCCCGTCGGAGAATCTCTAACGATGATGTGCCTCGCTTACACCTCTGCTCCAAATTGGACCCCTTCACTGAAACCACTTTTTTGGGAACGATCGCCAAATGAGATGTGAGGCTGGTACTCCTCTATCACACCGGATTTGTTCACCACTAAGTATTAAGCTGGCTGTAAAGTTCTGTCATACTTCCTCCTTATTCTGCAATAAGGGCAAGGATGTTATCCGCTACCATCGGCACCGACCCCTTCATTCCTCAAACTCTTTCTTCTACCACCCTGGCGCCAGCATGAGAGCTGTCGATGCCAAAATGAAGCAGCTGCATAAGGACGTATCAGACAATCTTCCACGACGCTAACGCTTCTGTGCGGGGCCTACAGTTTGAATGACGAGGTGAGGTTTGGGTGTACCTGCGAACTCAGCTTGAGGGAGCTGTGGGTCGGGAAACTGCTGGATGAAGAAGCTGCTTCCTCGGTCAATCCGTACGCAAAGCAGCTACGAGATCTGAAGCGAATCGTCGATCAGAGGGAAAAATTCGTCCGCACAGTCCGTCTTCAACGTGATGGTGCAGCCCACTCCGTCCAAAAAAGTTTGAGCCGAACTTCATGCAAGAGCTGGATGGCTCTCCCCTTGCACCGGTGTAGCCCAGACATTGCTCTTTCTAACTGCTAGTTGCCTCCCGTATTCAACCGTTATATGGCCGAGAAAACCTCCACGACTCGAGCCCAAGTCAAAATTGAGATGATGTCCAACTTTGCGTCGCGCCGGCCTGCATTAAGCGATGGCATCCACGAAGTGCTCAAAAACTGGCAAGGATCCCGCAATAACATTGCTGTATAATTTTGATCTTGTACGCCTCTCTATAAAAAGAAAGCCTAATTTGAAAAAATGTGACAGAACTTTCCCGCCAACCTAATATTACCGCAAATCCTCGATCGAGCAATAACGAGATATCTTTTCCGTTACTGCGAAGACCTCACTCTAATTGCTCGTCGGCGAGCTTTAATTACGTTAGCAACCTCAAAGCGACGGCTTCCGATCTTATCAGAAACGGTGTAACAAAGCTGAAGCAACGAAAAAAGATTGAGCACACTTGTATGCTTCAGCAAAAATGTCCGTTCGAGGTTCTTCTTCTTGAGCAGCGGAATCTGCAGCGGCGAGAATGGATGATATGGTGTTTTCAGGTAAGAAGGAACACCACTGTTCATGCTGTGATGACTGGAAAACTTGTATCTTATGAAAATTTGTGACAACAACAACAACAACAACAACAACAACAACAACAACACTAAAAGCTTACTGAAGGAGTATCACCACGAGGTGCAAGAAGACAGATGATGGATCGCGCCAATTCTCGTCGGCAGTGGCCGTCATCATCAGAGGTCTCGTATTCCTCAACCTAAACTACTTTATAATCCACTAAATATACCATTTTCACTTTAATCGGACACTTTTCAACCAAAAATCGCGATACTTTTTCAACCAAATCGGACACTTTTCAAACCAAATCGGACACTTTTCAAATCCAAATCGGACACTTTTCAAACCAAATCGGACACACCCCTTACAATTAGGTGGTTGATAACTAGACCACACTAGGTACTGTTACAAGCCCCGCATCATTACCCCGCCCATTTCTCAGCGCGGACAGGGTTTTCCGAGATGCTTCATGAAATCTGCTCCCTCGACTTTTTTTCGTTTTTGCCCTTTGCACACACACTTCAACTGAAAAAGATTGATACCTATACAGATCTGACTCCGCCCACTTAACAACGAATCACGTCAGTGAATTTTTATAACTTAAGTAATTGAATTTTTATAACTTTTTTCGACGTAGTTCTTTCCATATACAATCTTCACAAAACGAATAACCATGCACAGCACTCCAGGCCCCGCCCCTCTGACCCCGCCCACCTGCGTTCATAGCGGAATTTTGTTTTTATTCCGGATTTTCAGCTTTTTTTATTGGCCTTTACGATTGGCTCCGCCCACACCAGTGAAAGCTCCGTCCCAACTATTTCAAAATGAATGCAAGATCGGCGGGCTAGTGTCGCGTACTGGCCGGATTTACGGCCTCTCCCGTCCTCAGAACAGAGTTTCCCTTTATTACGGTTCCCTTTTTTTATTCTATGTGCCGGGAGAGGCCGTAATCCGCCAGTACGGACACTAGCCCGCCGATTTGCATCATTTTCGAAAAGTGGGCGGGGCTTCCCCAAAGTGGGCGGAGCTTCCATTGGTGGGCGGAGCCAATCGCTAAAGCCTAAAAAAGCGAAAATCCGGAAGAAAAACCAAAATTCCGCGATAAACACAAGTGGGCGGGGTCAGAGGGGCGGGGCCTGGTGTGCTGTGCATGGTTATTCGTTTTGTGAAGATTGGATGTGAAAAGAACTACGTCGAAAAAAGTTATAAAAATTCAGAACTTACGTAACTTCATTGTTAAGTGGGCGGAGTCAGATCTGTATAGGTATCAATCTTTTTCAGTTGAAGTGTGTGTGCAAAGGGCAAAAACGAAAAAAGTCGAGGGAGCAGATTTCATGAAGCATCTCGGAAAACCCTGTCCGCGCTGAGAAGTGGGCGGGGATAATGGGGCGGGGCTTGCAACAGTACCTAGTGTGGTCTAGTTATCAACCACCTAATTGTAAGGGGTGTGTCCGATTTGATTTGAAAAGTGTCCGATTTGGTTTGAAAAGTGTCCGATTTGGTTTGAAAAGTGTCCGATTTGGTTTGAAAAGTGTCCGATTTGGTTTGAAAAGTGTCCGATTTGAAAGTGAAAATGGTATATATCACATGACTTCAACGCTGCGAAGGAAACGAAAACCTTGTTCAAAAATATGCAGGCCTGGAGAAACTCATGGCTAGTCGATTCGCAAAACTCTTGGAACAACAGCTTTCCAATTGGTTGATGTTCAACAACATATGAATAACTATAATGACAAGTATGGAATAGAAAGCAACGCAAAAACCACAACATCTGTCAGACTATGGATCAAATTAATTAATTGAATAAATTGATAGCGACCATCTCTAACTGCACAGAGGTGACTCAAGCGTGGAAACTGTGCAGCTGCTTCGAGCTGATGCGAAAACTGTAAGCCGTTCACAAGGGATTCAGGGCGTGGTGCGCTTTTCGAAAACGGTTTTTTGCATATTGTAGGGGCTCATGCAAGGACCTGAAAAGTGTGCTTCATTTTCGCTGCGCGCTTCCAGGAAAGGTAAAAAACGAGTGAAAAGAAATCTTTGGAATCTGCTTCGTTTTGGGCCTCTATGCGCTGTGAATCACTTGCAACTTTGACCATTGCTGAGTGAAAGTCCTTAAAAAGGGACTATTGAAATCATAAACTTTTGAAAAATTGACTACTGAAAAACGTCGCAGATGAGGGTCAAATTCGGGTCATGTGCCTAATAGTGAACGGCTCCTTGGCATGGTTTCTTCAACGATCACAGCGGCACACAGCATAAACGACTGGATGACCTACCGGTTAGAGTGGAGAGTTTTCAATCGGACAGGTGTGGAGTTGTTAGTCCGACTCCTCTAGGAGTGCTAGTTTTTGCATTTTTCATGTTTCGCTGTTCTCGCTTCCATATATGTCTGTGCGTGAGTATAACATGGATATCTTGCCTATTATGTACACGTTCTGAACAGTTCCACCCATGAGCCGGTGCTATTCAATTTCGATTTTCCCCATACCATAAAGTAGTTTGTTGCTAGAATTTGATCTTTATAGGCTGATCATTTATCTGATCGCGCATATAGCAATAATCTCACTGTGGTGCCATTTATCGCCAATTCGGAGCCACATCTTCCTTTCACTGAATTCGTTATGTACACCCATATAGGGAACGTTCAGCGCTATTCTGTCGCCAAATTGCGTGGACGCCAAGAATAGGTGTTATAGTCGTGAGAGAGCCACTACTCACTACTATAGACGAAGTCTCGTTCAGAATTTTAACCTTCTTCGGTCTGTGTATTAGGTTGTGCTCAAGAGTCTCATTACTGAAGTCTCATAAGTGAACTATTTGACACAAAATGCGAAAACCCCCTCTTGCATATAGTAGTAGCTCACATCGGAAGTCCTTTTGCTCTAGGCTTAGGCAACATTCTTCACTGCACACAACCGTTTCTTTCTGTGTCAGGTACTCATAAGGTCTCGTTATTTCCTGTACCTGGTTATGCCATGTTTATAGGTTTATTGCATTGCCCCTTACACAATCGATGCATGGTCGACTTTGGGCAGTCGACTATGCCTGTATTGATCGGCTCCGGCACGGCGGAGGAGCCCCTAGCGTGGGAAAGGTCACTCACTGGCCAATCCAAACACTGCGAAGGAGACCGAGCGTGGTAGAGGTCATTCGCTGGCCAAACCAAACACTCAGCGCCCAATGGGCGGAGCGGAGAGGCCATATAAGCGGAGGCCGTCGCGGAGCGCACTTAGTGAACTGTCTCAGGATAAGAGGTGAATCCTCATTACTACTACTTACAGCAAGACAGCGTATGGCTTTTGGCAAGGATTACCCTAGACGTGACATACGGGCCTCATTCAGGCACCTGATTAGGCGGCCAAGGCTCGTAACGCGGCTGTGTCACGAGCACGGCGATCAGCTGTTTCCAGCCTATTTTAGCCATTTTCTCCCTAATTTACACTGTTTTGGCTGCTTTTCTCAAGATTAGTTGTTCCTTGTCTTCACAAGGTAAATTATGATTGAGATTCCTCTGATTTTTGCGTACAATTAAACAGTTAAGCAGACAATTGAACAAATACCTAAAAAAACGCAAAAGCACTCTATTGCAAAAAAAATACTCTTCGTTCTAATGTACTTCATGAAGACAATAAACTTACTTCAAAAAAATAGAAAATACAGTGAAAATT